TTGAAAGCATAAGCAACCTTTCACAGAATTAACTTGTTGTTCACATAATCAACACACATGCACACAAACTGGAGTGGGATATCTATCTGTTTTTATTATAAACGCCTTTTGGGTTTTTTAAAAATGAAAAGCAGTACAAAATATGGATACATACATGGACACAATAATAAATACACTCGCCCCTCTGTTTTCACGGACTTGAAGTCAGCAGTCTTTATTCTTTGTGGAGGGGTGAGCTCCATAGGATAAAATGGCATGCGTGTGGGAGTGCGCGGCCATTCAAGCTAATAGGGCTTGAATATTAGCGAGTTTCTGTTTTCAGGGGGGGAGCGGAACAGATCCCCTCCCGAAAATGGAGGGGCAAGTGTATCACAGGACTGAGAGATTAGTCTGGAGTTAAATCTTGGTATAACATTAACATAGGGCCTTTGCAGACTGCCAGAAATAGTGCATATTAAATTGAGGCACTGCCTTGGCTCAGTGCTAGGGAATCATGGGAACTGTAATTTATTGTGGCACCAGAGCTCTCTGACAGAGAAGGCTCAATGTCTCGGAAAAAAAATACAATTCCCATGACTCCCTAGCACTAAGCCAGGACAGTGCCTCTATTTAATGTGCACTATTTCTGGCAGTCTGCAAAGGCTCATAGTGGAGAGAAATTTGGCTTTTCCCTCCATTTAAATCCTTCTCTTGTTTGGAATTGATGTGGAACTCCCCCCCCCCATTCAAACTAACCATGTGACTTAAGTCACTCCACCTTTGAGATTGACATTCTCTCAAAGACTTTCAACTGAACTGTTTGTTTTCCATCTTCTTCCTCTCTCAACTTTCTTTGGAAAGATAGTGAGATAAAGATTTCTTTTTACCTGAATTATTCACTAGCTAGATTAGAATATCACCTTTATGTATATATAGATTAAAGCAATTTGTAAACTTTTGTTTGAACTACAAGCTACTTGTGTTGTTTTTGGAGCCAGTCTCAGTTCTTAGAGAAGCATAGTTAGACAAAGGCACATTTCTGCTACTCTGCTGATTTAAAGCTAGACCCTTACAGGCTTGGCTTTGACATTTTTGATATTTCAATATTTTTGTTTCCTTACTAAAGGCTGAAGCTGTAGCAAACTTAAATTACATTACGGTATGTCCCCAAGCTCAGAATACCTTCTAATAAAAGTGTTTCTAAATCTTGTACACTTGAAACTAACTGAAAGTTCTAGTAATTGGGAGGGGGAAGGAGAGGATTGTTATTTCTGCCACAAGCACCACCAATTCTTATCTTCATATAGGACAGAAAAACACACGTACATACACACACAGCAGCCAAAAGAATCTTTCCAGGAAAGTGAAATATGTTTTAGCGTACACAGGATTACATTGGCCAATTTTGGTAAAGATCCCTAATCTTACATAGGTTATTCCCAAATTTGATGTGCTTGTTAATAATCAAAGGAATAAGATCTACAAATGTCCTTAATTATGTAACTACTGGCTTCAGTTCAGAATATTTTGAAACCCTTATAGCTGATGCAGTTTTTATTGGGTTTGTTTGTTTGTTTCAATTTATTTTAACTGGAAGTGGAGAAATCTAAAAAAATATTTTAGGATAACTCCCCAACACCCACACCCACCCGACCCCATGGGTGTTAAAAGTGTAATATAAGAAATATATTTCTGCTTTCTTTCTTTCTTTCTTTCTTTTTTTTGGGGGGGGGAATTCCTATGATCCAAGTTCCTCTTAGTGGTCAATGAAGCTTTTGTATATGCATACATTAACAGAAGTGTTCCCATTTGCCAATTACTATTTTTTTGTTTGTTTGTTTCTAAACTGGGAATTACAAACTGCATGGGTGAATCCAAAAGGGAATTGTGCTTTTCTGGGGGGAAAAAAAGCGCTTTTCTGTAATGTGAAAAAGTTTGTTAACTTAGGCTTGCTTATTTCACAGTTGTCTTCTGGTGGAAAACTTGTGTTTCCAATTTGCTGCTTGGAAGCAGGGATGGTGGTGGTGGGGGAGATTTACCCTTCTATTGTGAAGAAAATTGCCCTGGGTTGGTACCATAAACAAATTGCTTATGTGTCTAGCTACTGCCTTTGTATTCTTAGGAAAGTGCCCAGAGGCTGAGATAAGGTTTCACTTTCCTGCTGTGTCACTGATTGAGCATGTCATTGGATATACTGATTGTGACTTGGGTCAAAATTTAACTAAGAGTTTACATGTGTGATATGAATCAAGACCTTAAGCTCTAGATGAACTGAATCATCCAAAGTTCTAATACCTAGTCCCACCAATATTCCTGTGCATGTGAGTGTTGCTGTGAGTTTAAAAGAATGGCAATTATAAAAAGGATAATAAAAATTGGCATAGCTGGGATGTGTGCAAAAAAGATTTTTTCAGAGGGGTCTTGTGTCATGCCCACCTCCATCAAAAATAAACACATAAATCTCATTTTGTAGTTGTTATATTATGTTGTTTTAATAATGTTATATTCACCTCCCTGCTAGTGAAGACAGATTTATTGGATTAAAAGTTAAACATTAAATAATTTGCTCATTATGTTGACAGATGTCTACACGCCCAATAAAAATGATGATTGTTTACAAATTTAAGACAGAAACAGGAAGAATGGAATGGAGAGTGTCAGGTTTCATATATACTTGTATACTTCAGTCATTCAGTCATAATTTATTATGGTCCATAGACCCAAAATTTAGACATTCTGCTTGTATACTTCTTTACATCTGAACCTTTGCACATACTTCAGTTTTTTCTTGAAATACTACAATCCATATATAGTCAAATTTGCACAAGTAATACATAAATACAAATATTTATATATGCAGCTGTCCCTGAAGATGATCCAGTAACTGCATTCTATACAGAATATACCCACCTGAATACTTATTTGATAGGTTTTTTGGACCATATCTTACTAGTATTTGAAATAATATGCTTGGCTTCTCTGAAGATGCCAGCCACAGATGCTGGCGAAACATCAGAAAGAAACTAATCTAGAACATGGCCACACAGCCCGAAAAACCCACAAAAAACTATGGATGCCAGCCATGAAAGCCAATAACTTCACAATATGCTTGGCTGCTGACCCCTTTTGATGGCCTTTTCAATATGCTGTTCTTAAGTTTTACATGACTTGTGACCAAGGCAACTTTTTTCAAAAACCTTGCCATGCACACTATCCATACACTATAATCTGCTGATATACTTTTGAGCGCCAAGACATTCCAAGGTGAGTGGACAGTGACCCTGAAAAGGCATGGTCTACTTCTCAGGAATATTACACTTGGCACTTGCCTCTCAGATTTCAGCTTCTAGATGAAGATCTTTTATTGATTCTTCTTGCTTTTTAGCTATTTTAATAGTCTTCAAAACTCAGATTTTCTTTAGGGTTGTCTTTGCTATTTTTTATTTTTATACTGTATTAATGGCTTTAATTACAGTTGCTCCTCCGTTTTCACAGACTTCAAATCCATTCATGGGCGGGAAACAGAGGGGGATAAAATGGAGGGCACATGCCCCCATTCAAGCCTTTGGGCTTGAGTATTTGTGGTTTTCCATTTTCGTCAGGGGGGGTCCAGAACGGATCCCCTGTGAAAACAGAGGGGCAACTGTATATGCACTTTTTATTATATGCACTTTTTATTACATGCACTTTTTAATGCACAGGCTATGTTGTAGCAGCAAATTTTGTACACAGAATCATAGAATCATAGAGTTGGAAGAGACCACAAGGGTCGTCCAGCCCAACCCCTCTACCATGCAGGAACTCACAATCAAAGCAGGTTAGTAGGCGATTAGACTGGATATTTTTTGAAGCCCCTTGCAACACTAATACCATGCTTCATACTGCCTTGGAATGATTGATGAAGAGCAGAATAAATGCTTCTGTTGGCTGCTGTATTTGTTGTTATAGTTCTCAACTTTTGAAAATTAGACAGTGTTTGTGTTATTACGGACCCTTCAGTGGCAATTCCCTGTACCAGTATCAACATTTGATTCTCACCCAGAGGGTGAGATTTAGGATATATTGCAACAACAACAAAATCCTAAGGGACTATATGATTCTATATTCCCGTTTTTTATTATATCCTCCTCCTTGCTCACTGGGGGAGGAACGGGGGGGGGGGACACAAGCAGTCTCAGAATATCATTCCTTTAAAAAGGAGGAGTGGAGCTCAGTGGGAAAGAACTAAAGAGATCTGCATCCTAATTGGCCAAGTTGATTAGTTTCATGAGAATTGAATGATGATTGGCCTTTTAGCCTACAACCTTTTACAAAAAGTAAAAACAGTTTGGATCTGGAGACAACATGAAGAGAAACCAACCAGTAATAAGCAATGTTCTCTGTTGCAAGAGTGCAAAAGTCTGGAATAGCTCCATAAAGAGTTTCATTCTGGATATGTTAAATTAGAAGCTATAATAGCTTTCTTTTGAATCATATGCTGCAGTGGAAGGTTATAAACATATAAATATAGATTTTACCTTTAAAGTAGCTATACACTTGATTTTCATACAGGCAGAGCTTCCTAAGTGCATATTGGATCAAAGTGTAGTATTAAAAATACACATAAGAACTTTAGAACCATCAGTTCTCACCCTTCTTCCTCTGGTTTTTACAAGTGAGACTTTTCCTGGGAGCTCTTTACAAACTGATTTTTCAGGTGCAAACTTGTTTTCCTGTTCCCTTCCATTATAAAGCTGAACTGTTCAGTGATGAATACTGTACTGGCAATGTGTTGTTTTTTTTAAGTCCTCACATCTCATCCTTCGTTCTCAATCCATGATAAAGCAGATTAGATGTGGTGATCTCACATTTTGATATCTTCATTGTTGTTGTGTGCCTTCAAGTAATTTCTGACTTGTGGTTATCCTAAGATGAACCTATCACGGGTTTTTCTTGGCATGATTTGTTCAGAGGAGGTTTGTCATTGTCTTCCACTAAGGTTGAGAGCATGTGATTTGTCTGAGTTCACCCAGTGGGTTTCATGGCTAAGCTGGGCATTGAACCCTGGTGTCCAGAGTCGTAGTCCAAAACTCAAACCACTATGCCACACTGTCTCTATATCCAGATTACATTCTTAGATATGTAATAAAGCTGTGTTATATGAGTGATTTTTCAACTGAAGTAACTTTTACACTCTATAAAAACAAATTGCAACATAACCCCAGTAGCTACAGGCCTGCAATTCTTATTAAGAAAAGTGATGAGAGCACCATACTTTGCAGCATAGTTCAGGCCATTTCAATTCATGGAACTTGAGATGAGGTTGAGCTGCAGGTTAAAATTGGCCTGTGAGAATTTTAAAAAGAATAGTGTACCTACTAAGAGCCAGCATTTGGTTTCTCAAAAACACTTCAGGCCAGAGAAGCAAGCTTGGTGAATCAGGCAATGCTACAGATGTAGTGTATTTTGATTTCTGTAACAGTTACTGTCAGTTAGTCTCAAAGGTGCTGCTATCTCTCTCTATAGTCTTTACAAGATCACACATGAAATTCTTGAAGATAAGCTGAAAAAATATGATCTTGAGAATGCTACTATTCCACCTATTTATTGATGGGCTGAACCCAAAGAGTGCTCGCCCAAGATTCCTTGTCATTCTGAAAAGAACAATGAGTAGAATGTCATAGAATTCTGTCCTGGGCCTACTGTTATTCATCATCTTTATAAAAGACATACAGGAAGGAATAGGGGAGATATTTGTCTTATTTTCCAATGAGACCAAGCAGAGGGAACAGCTAATACCTCAAAAGACAGACTCATATTTGAAGGGGATCTAAATAATCTGAAGAACAATCCCAAAACTAACAAAATGATTTTAACAGCATAAGTGTAACATTTTCTATTGTAGTGAGAAACATGAGATGCACTAATATAGAGTGGGCTTGACAGCAATATGTATGAAAAGAATCTGGGGTCTTTCTGTGGTCCACATACTAAATGTGGGTCAACAGTGTGGTGCAATGTCAAAAGCAATACAGTTCTAGACTGCATCAACAGAAATACAGTGTTCTGATCAAAGGTCTCCCATCCAATTCCACCAGTGAATACCAAATGCCAGAGCACCAATACCAAATGTAGTAGGCTGTTTCAGAGGAAGGAACTGGCAAAACCATCTGTGAATATTCCTTGTATACGAAAACTCTATGAAATGCATGGGGTTGCTAGAAGTTGACAGGCAACTTGAAGGCATACACAGGCAAACACATGCATATTTAACTGATCAGCTGTTTAGCATATTCATAATAATACAGTACATTGCCTGTTGTATCATGTTTATAATGCTTGTTCTCAGATATCAATGATTTTTTCATTTTTCTTCTTTTATATAGAAGAGTACTCTAGGCTTTATTCCAAAGTATATATTAAAGGATCATGAACTTCCTCTTAAAATATATGTTCAGTCACCCCTCCATTCTTGCAGACTTGAAGTCCAGGTTTTGCATTTTCACGGAGGGGCGACCTCCATTAAAATCAATAGGGTGCGCCCCCACAGGCACCCCCCGCACACTCCTGAGGAGGCGTGCCCCATTCAAGCCTTTGGGGCTTGAATATTGGCAAATTCTATTTTCATGGAGGGGGGGGACTGCAATGAATCCCCTGCAAAAATGGAGGGCTGGCTGTAGAATCAATTATGTTTAAATGGAATCACATTGAATTTTAAATCAGATTTAAAATAATAAGTAGATTTAAAAATGGAAAATACCAATGAAAATGCATTTATGCACAGAGTACTATATTAGAAGAGATTATCAGATATCCAAATATGTGTCCTTACAAAGTTGATTTCCCTGTCTGTACATTCAAATGGTAAAACATTCTGAGGTCCTTCATTCACTGAATAATACAGCATGTGCATTTATACTTTAAATAATGTGTTATCTGCCTTTTAGCTGCTATTAGAGCTTAGAGAATATACTTCCATTGTTCAAAAGTTAATTTCCATGATATGGGGAAATAGCTGAAAAACACAATTAAGCTTGCAGAATTAGAAGATTGATGAAATATACAATTAATTCAAATAATACCTTTTCCTGTCACTAGATCTAATCAAGTCATATATTTGAGAGTTTTATCTTGGCCTTTTGGCCAAAGACAAGTATGGTAAGAAGGGCATGTGAGAATTACAACCAACAATTAGCATATGTACTCAGATAAATAAATAACAACACAATATTGGGAGGGATATCTGGAAAAAAGATAAACCTTAATTCAAGTAAGTGTGTATTGAATGTAGCCTCAGTCAATATCTTTCAGCTTTTAGATTATTTTTTGAGCAAAACTGCAGAGACACTTGTGTTTTTCTTTTGCCCATACATCTTTCAAATGGCATCTTTTTTCAGTAAATAAAATATTACATTAGCAAGATCTAAAATAAAATAATTTGTTTCACTGATATCTCAGTAATATCCTATTTAGTACAAACTCTAAAAATGTGAGTTATAAAAGGTATTGGTGAAATATTTTAAATAAGTCTTCGTCATATTATTTGGAGCAGTGTCAAATTCAATTTTTATTTTTAAAAGACTGTAGTTGGAATTTAATCTTTGAAAATATTAATAACAGCTTACAGCAGGTAGGCTATAAAATAACACTGTATCCTGTCTATTTAGTTTCTGGTTGAAAAAGCACAGCAGTACTTTAGTTCATTACCTTTGAAAAAAACAGTAACAAGATAATACAGCTGCCTCTGATTAAGATGTAAATTCTTTCTAATTAGAATGTAAATTCTTACATTTAAATGAAGACATCAATTGTCAGGATGCCATATGATATCTTATTCCACCTTGCGTGAATGAAGCCCTCACTGTTCATCTATGGCACTAAAATAGTTTTGCAATCCCTTTGTTCTCTGATTCTTGTAATATTCTCTCTTCATGTTCCCTTTTCACACTGCTTTTGTTTGTTTTCCCCCTTGCATCTGATATTGTTGTGTCTTGGGATTTTGCAGAAATTTGGAATGAAAATTGAGTTCAGTCAGTGCCAGTATTTGCTTGTGCCTCAATTACTTCTGCTGAATTTTCTTCAATGCAAATCAGGCAGGTTGCATAAAGTAGTGCATGTATTTGAAATAATTAATTTTCCGTAAAATGATGGAGCAAGTCCAATCAACCTTCATAAAATCTAAATAAAAGAATAAAGAATTAGAAATTAATTAACTTTTTTGTGCTGGTGATACTCTATTATGAGGTGCAAGGTAGCAATAATAAGTTTTTCTGTTGAGTCTAACTTCTTCATCAAATGTGGACAATAACCTTTTGCCACTCTCATCAAATAAAAATATACTTTCAAAATTTTACTTCAGTAATTTGCAGTAGCACAAATATTTCATGTAAAGGTGCAGAAAGAGTAATAACTTTATAAATACATGCACTAAGTATTTTAAGGCACAGTATGTAAACCAAAATTTTAAATATGAGTTAATATTAGCTAACAGTGTATATTATGCCTTCCGCGTCTCTATTAGTTTAACACTGCACTCCTCAACAGACTTATTTGCAAGTAGCACTCTGCTTATGTATGTCATTCTCATTAAGAGGAGATGAGAGGGTCTATAGGAGATATTCGGAAGACATTATAAACATTTAGAGCTATCCATGGTATAATCCTATCTTAAAAGATTCATAGGTAATTGCTTATTTGAAAGTGCCTCATGTCAAGCTAACATGTCAGAGGCTAGGCTAGGATCTATTTCCCTGCTATACTAGGTTTCCACAAGTGGAACTTTAATACCAAGAGACTTTTGAATTAGGGCCTTTGTAGACTGCCAGAAATAGTGCAAATTGAGTCCACTTTAACTGCCCTGACTCAGTGCTAGGGAATCATGGGAACTGTAGTTTATTGTGGCACCAGAGCTCTCTGACAGAGAAGGCTCAATGTCTCAGAAAAAAATACAATTCTCATTATTCCCTAGCACTGAGCCAGGGCAGTTAAAGTGGACTCAATTTGCACTAGTTCTGGCAGTCTGCAAAGGCTCTTTTGTCTTTCTGCCCTTTCTGGCATATTTTGATTTTATTGTTATTATGGTTCTTGTTGCTACCAAAATAAAATGTATATATATTGATCCAATTTAAATGAAACAGTAAATCATAGGTTTGCATTACATAAATATGCTGTGCATTCCATCCACCCCAGCTGCTTCCACAGGTAAACTAACTGGAGTTTCTCATTATGCACATACTGGGAACTCTGATTAAATTAATATTTAGTTGTTGAAACAAGCCATGATATAAATTATTTGTTTTGTTTTATTTATATGCCACCTTTCTCCCAAATTTGACCCACAGCGGCTTACAAAAATGAGATCAAATCAAACTTTGATCCTGTTTTGTCTGTATAAACTGTTGAAACTAACCACAGGTTAATCCTGTCAAATGTAAAATAAACTAACTGAATGTTTTTCTGTCTCCTCAGCCACGTTAGAACAATAGGTGTATATGTGTTATTTTAATGTTGCTTTCGAAAATGCTTTAGCCTTATATGCAAACTATGTGTGATCTAAAATTATATGAATGCAATTCATTCCTCCACCATTAAAGGGAATGGCAGGTCGATTTCTTTATGGTTAAGTTTAATCATAACCTTATCAGTTAAGATTATCCACAAGCTTATCAATTTCTTTAGTTCTCAAAGTCTTGATCAGGTTGAATCCAAAATGTTGTACAGTTATACCTCAGTTAATGAAGGCGATGTGTTCCTGAGCATTACTTCTTTAACAGCTTTGGTAAAAGAGGCAGAAACAACATGGAAAGAATGGGATAGATTCCTACACTACCAAAAACAAAAGCAACTTCAAATTGTTTCAGCAGGCTTTTTATTCATACCTAAAGATATGTCCATGTAATGAAATGAAACATGCAGATCAGGTAAGCATTACATGAGTAAACAAAAGCATTTGGAATCTTCTAGAGATTACTTCACAGCTTCTTCCAAAATGAAACCAGGATGATTTTTTCTCCCACCAGCCTCCACTTTTTTAATAAATTCCATGTTAGTGGCCAAACTTATAGGTCTACAGTTTTTAACATGCTGTGAGAAGCTGATAAGGCTTATCTGCTCT